TCCTCCTTTATTGGGGACCCCAAGATGGGGGTGACACCCCCCGCCCCACGGTCCCATCCCGTCCCCCCCCTGTCCCCTACACGTGGGTCTCCTGCAGCAGCAGGTCGGTGGCAGCCCCGGGCTCGGGGTGGGGGGGGCCCCGGGGGAGGCCACCGTCCCCCTCCGACCTGGCCGGCAGCGCCTGGGGGGCACCCCCTTTGTTGGGGGGCTCTTCCCCAGGGGTGTCGGCGCCCGGGGGACACGCCGAGGACGTCTGCTTGGCGATGTCCCACCACAGCACGCCCTGGGGGGGCCGCCTCCGCTTGGTCGGCCCTGCCGGAAAGGGGGTGTCATGGGGAAGGGCTGGGGGGGGGGATGACACAGGACACGACCTGGGGTGTCCCCCCACCCGGCTCCCGGCCTCACCTGGCAGGGAGCTGAGCAGGACCCCCCCCAACACCGTGGTGAGGGTCCCCAGCGCCCCGTAGTACAGGTAGGAGATGGCGTAGAAGTCCCCCACGATGGCCGGCCTGCGGGGGGGGAGAGGGGGTGTGACGTCACGGGGAAAGCAGTGTGACGTCACAAGGACCAGGGACAGTGGTGTGACGTCACAAGAAAGAGGGAAAGCGGTGTGACGTCACAGGGAACAGGGAAAGTGGTGTGATGTCACCAGTGAGCAGGGAAAGCGGTGTGATGTCACGAGGAACAGGGACAGTGGTGTGACGTCACAAGGAGCAGGGAAAGCAACGTGATGTCACAGTGAACGGGGAAAGCGGTGTGACATCACAAGGAGCAGGGAAAGTGGTGTGATGTCACAAGGAACAAGGACAGTGGTGTGACGTCACCAGAAATAGGGAAAGCGGTGTGACATCATCACAAGGAACAAGGACAGTGGTGTGACGTCACCAGAAATAGGGAAAGCGGTGTGACATCATCACAAGGAACAAGGACAGCTGTGTGATGTCACAACGACAGCGGTGTGACATCACGACAGCAGTGTGACATCACAAGGACAGCAGTGTGACGTCACAAAGAGCAGGGAAAGCGCTGTGACATCACAGTGAA